GCAGTAGCCTTATAAAATATTGTTCCGAGTTTTGTGGTATGTATCTCAGCAGCAATATATGTACTCGCCGAATAGCGGTAGTAGCCGTTTCGGCTCGGCCGCCGGGCGTAAATAAATTGTGTGTGTGTGTGTGTGTGTGTGTGTGTGTGTGTGTGTGTATCAAGGCAACTTGGTCTAGAACAAGAGAGAAACATTCTCCTGATCACCTTTTACACCAATACCTCAGCAAAATGTTCCAAAGAAGGATCTCCGTCTTGGATGGACGAAATCTGGTACGACTAGCATCCCCGGACTTCATTCCAGAATAGACGCTGCCTTGAGTGGCCGGTACTCTAATTGCTAACCTCTTGGAATACTTTGGTAATGAACCTTGAATAAAGAGATTCTCTAGATATAACGAGCATCTCAAATATAAATAGAGCCCTGAGCACCTCATGAATTCATGTCAATCTGCAGATCATCTCCTCGGCTCTTCACGAAGCTTTTAACTAACGAAGCATATTTTTACATTCTCTACTGTCAAGATGCGTTTCACCAACACTCTTACTGCGGTCCTCGGTATTAACTCAATGGCTACTGCTGGCTTCGTCAAGGCTGATTTTTATATCAGCAACGTCGCTGGTACCCAACTTGAGCGCCTGAACAGCTACAGAAACCAGCACCAGCTGACTCCGGAACAAGACAAAGTTCTTGACCAGGCAGCGGAGATTGTCCGCACGGCCGACCATTCTCAGATTGGTATCATCCGCGCTGCTACCGAGGCCGCCTTTGGTAATGCTGAAGCCGCATACATCCTCACCGGCAAGCACCGAGGCAGCGAGAATACTTTTGCCGAGAAACGGGCCCTGCTCCGCCGTGCAACAGACTGCAACTGCTCGACCGACGACAACTACTGCAATGACAGCCAGTACTGCGCCTACAACTATGGCAATTGTAACTTCAAGCCTGGGTGCGGTACTCTTTGGCTTGAGGTATGTGATGGCAGGTGCGTCAAGAAGTGATGCGAGTCCTGTTTAGTAATCGAAAAAAAATTGGAACACAAAAGATGGCTATCTCATCTGTTGCTGGCTAGTTTTATCAATTCGCTTTTATAGTTATTATATCTGTGGTTAAATGTTATCAAACCTCTCTATCATTTCCTTACGTATTCAGTTATGTGAGGCATTCCTACAGAGGTATGTTCCAAAAGTCCTTGCCAGTGTATCATTAGCGACTGGTCTATCGGTCCAACTGTTTTAGCATCCACACCGACTTTTTGATGCTGGTGTTGATGCTGGTGTTGATGCTGGTGATGGTCTATATACTCAATCTTTTGGTGTTTTCAACTATACTATGGCTCCCAACACTGATTCCTATATCCGTGCGCTCATTGTGACGCTGAAGTCACCTTCGGGTGGCAAAAATACTGCCCAGATCAGCACTACCACAGGTATTTCACCACGTACTATTGACGCAATCTATGGTAGAGCATGCCAGCGTAGCTTCGAGCCCAATTTACCTACGATTAAGCTCCTCCTAGAGCACCTCGAAGATGTCTCTCGTATTAGGCTCCCGCGTAAGCAAGAAGCTATCCACGAAGCTGCTATCAAGAAAGTACGCCGCGACTAATGTAGACGGGAGAAGAGCTACGCTAATATCATCTACCATATAGTCAATAGATAGGAAACGTAAAGCTCTAAAACTAACCATATGTTTATTCTTATTTTAACTCTTTATTCATCATTCAAAATCTTATTCTACTATAATATACCACTATCAAATGTCATTATAAAATTTCCTAACTCAAAATCATACATACTATGAATAAAACTATTGACTATTAACTAATCTTCACAAATAAAGATATATCAACATTGAGTAGTGAAATACAGTAGACAAGTTCTAGAGTTAGAAAAGTAGTTATTAAAGATTAGTAATCGAGAGATAAGGCTACGTTCTCGTAACGTGTTAACTAACTACTTAGCCTACTAACTCAATATAGCTACAGACATCACAGTCGTAGTAAAGAAGAATATCCTTATTTTATTAGACTGTATTTTGTTAACATGCATCCTCTTGTCTCCTATCCTAACATCGACGTTCTGGTCGTTGGTGGCGGGAATGCAGGCTTCTCCGCCGCCATCGCTGCCGCCCAAGCTGGCGCCCGTCGTGTTGTTCTTGTTGAAAAAGCGCCAAAGGAATGGGCTGGAGGAAACAGTTACTTCACAGCAGGCGCTTTCCGCACCACTCATAATGGCATTGACGACCTATTGCCCATTGTCAACAATGTTGACGCCGAGATAGTAGAACTCATCGACATGAAGCCGTATACCAAGGATGATTTCAGCAACGACATGCATCGTATATGCTCAGGCCGCTCGGATGCCGCGCTGAGCCAGGCACTGATCGACGAATCCAACGAAGCTGTCAAGTGGCTTGCGAAAAACGGAATCAGGTTCCAGCTCTCTTTCAATCGCCAGGCGTACAAGGTCAATGGCCGTTTGAAGTTTTGGGGCGGCCTAGCGCTCATGACACAGGACGGTGGCAAAGGATTGATTGCGGATCATCAAGCCTGTGCGGCACGGAACAATGTGGAGGTATACTACTCCACGGCCGCCAAACGCATCATCACTTCTTCGTCAGGTGCCGTGACAGGAGTCATGGTAGAATGCGAGGGCGTAGATACACTCGTTACGACCAATGCCGTCATTCTTGCAGCAGGAGGCTTTGAAGCGAATCCGCGTATGCGCTCCCAGTATCTTGGCCCTAATTGGGATGTTGCACGTGTCCGTGGCACGCCTTTCAACACAGGCGAAATGCTGGAATTCGCGATTCGCGATGTCAATGCCAAGCAAGCGGGCAATTGGTCTGGCTGCCATTCTACCTGCTGGGATGCCAATGCTCCTGCAAATAGTGGCGATCGCGACGTGTCGAATGAGTTTACAAAGTCTGGATACCCGCTTGGCCTAATGATCAACATCAACGGTGAAAGGTTCGTCGATGAAGGGGTTGACATGCGTAACTACACCTACGCGAAGTTCGGACGGGCTATTCACGAGCAGCCTGAAGGCGTAGCTTTCCAAGTCTGGGACCAACACGCGATACCATGGTTGCGCGACGAAGAGTATAGAGACGAACGTGTTCAAAAGATATGGGGCGCTACTTTGGAAGTATTGGCAGAGAAGCTCGCTGCGAAGTCGGGACTGAGCAATCCTCAGCAGTTCGTTGCGACAATCACTGAGTACAATGAGGCAGTCTACGTGTCTCAAGCGGAAAACCTAAATAAACATTGGGATCCAGCTGTCAAAGATGGGGTTTCAACACAATCTTCAACCAAGAAATTAGCGCTGGCAAAGTCTAACTGGGCGCTTCCACTCGATAAAGGCCCTTTTATGGCCGTCAAAGTATGCTGTGGAGTCACCTTTACGTTTGGCGGACTGGCCGTAAACCCTGAGAGTACTGCAGTCATTTCCAACTCCGGCAGGGAGATCGGTGGGTTGTTTTGTGTCGGTGAGATGCTTGGAGGGTTATTCTACAGCAATTATCCTGGAGGCAGTGGATTGACTTCTGGCGCAGTATTTGGTCGGAGAGCTGGAACTGCAGCGGCGAACATAGTTAGTGCTCGTGTTGCGGCGGTGCCACCAGCTTTGTGATTATTAGGTTGCGCATGTCGCTAGTATTGCTTACAGAGACGAATTAGCAGATCCAATGTTGCAGCAATTGCAACTGGAATCGCATAGTGCCGAAATGGTGGTTTTTGTGTAAAATATGGCATTTCAACTCTTAAGCCAGATCAGCCTCATCGCTCCCTCTAGACGCATGGATTGCGGCGACGGCTCAAGCGTGTAATGGGGATAGAATGTATTGTTCGATATTCAAAGGCATTATGCCGTCCGCTGGGAAGGCTGTCATAACCAGGTGGAGTGTTGGTATTGACAGTGCACTTGAGTCGTATTAATACCTGATCCACCTGAGCGCTTGAAACATTCCTGACAATAGCGCGAGGCCATTTCGGCAACTTGAGCAACTACAGGAACACAACACAGATTTTAAGGGGGAATTTGCACAAATTGTATGTGCAGAGATCCCCGTATCCCATAATTCCATGGCCCCAATACGCGTAAGCAATCTGGAACGACGAGAGTGGAGGACGAAGTGCCGCGAGTAACTGTCAAGACATATACTTAGAGCAAACCAGCACCTGTCTTCGAAGAGGATAATACATCCCAGATAATAGACTCAGTGTTGCTGTAGAGCCAGCTGAGATTCGCCTCCTTCTCAACTCATATAATCCGTACGCTTGAAGATTTCTTCCCGAGACCAGATACTTGTTCTCGAAAAACATAGGCGGACATTCTATGAGCGCATGTAAAAGCTATGCGATGGCGTCTAGAAGATACTTGAGATCATTCCAGCAAAGCCATAATAGGAACTGCCTATGATTGATGGGATTGTGGTTGGTGTCTGATTCCTCTTAGCCGAGACCAAGTGTCACCAATACGATTCCTACGGATACAATCCTTTCCTCACCACCACATGTTTCTCCAGCACTAATCGTACCCCGCACATGAGCATCTTGCGTTGAATAGAGGGAACGATCGATCGCGGATGCCTCCTTCGCGATATGACATTGCAACTCACTGCTCACCATTCGGCGGTGATGGGTTAATTCCCACTGAGCATGGGTACTTCATCGATGCTCACCTAGGGGAACTGGATACGTCTTTCTTCAGTTTTACCAAGGCTGAGCTGGAATACATTGATCCACATCAGCGTCACCTTCTGGAAGTTGTACACGAGTGCTTCGAGAGTGCGGGAGAAGCAAACTACCGTGGTGCAAACATCGGATGCTACGTTGGGTCGTTCAGCGACGATTGGAGGGAGACTCTCTTCCACGATCTCCAAATGTACGGCAAGTACCCAGTAGCTATTGGAGGGGACTTTAGTGTTCTCAGCCGGATCTCATTTGAGTATGACTTACGCGGACCGAGCATAAGTACCAGGACAGCGTGTTCTTCAGCACTGGTTGCCTTGACGCAGGGGTGTACCGCCATGTCGATGGGAGAGTGCGACGCGGCCATTGTGGCTGGCTGCCAGTTCATACTCACACCAACAATGAACGTTATCGTGTTAACACGAGGCATGTTGTCCAAGGACGGCTCGTGCAAGTCTTTTGACGCGGCCGCGGATGGCTATGGACGCGGAGAAGCCATTAATGCAGTGTACCTGAAGCTGTTGGCTGCAGCGCTGCGTGACCGGAACCCCATTCGCGGCATCATTCGCAGCAGCGCAGTCAACGATGACGGCAAGACGGCAGGTTTTAGTGTCCCCAGCACTTTGACGCAGGAAGCATTGATAAGGCAAGCGTATCGAATGGCCGGCATCGCCGACTGCTCTCAGACACCCTTTGTCGAATGCCACGGCACGGGAATCAAAGTGGGTGACCCGATCGAGGCGTCGACAATTGCTCGCCTCTACAACGAGAAGAAGCAGATCTTCATTGGCTCGGCCAAGCCTAACATGGGGCATTCGGGAGGTGCTTCGGGTCTGACATCGTTCATCAAGGCCATCTTGGCTGTTGAGAAGGGCATCATCCCGCCCAATATCCGTTTCGAGACATCCAATCCAAAGATTCCGTTCAAAGAAGGGGGCTTGACGGTGCCTACAGAACCCATTCCCTGGCCCCTAGACCGTCCCGTCCGAGTGGACATCAACTCTTTCGGCATGGGAGGCGTAAATGCTCACACCGTCGTTGAATCGGCGAAGAACATTACTCCTGCTCAATCTCCTAGTTCGGGCTGCTGTGGGCCTTCGTTACTGTTGTTTTCTGCAAACACCTCCGAGTCTCTCGTCAAGATTGTGGAGAAGAACCACGCTTACCTACAAAAAAAGCCCCAGGCGGTCTCTGACCTCGCCTACACGTTGGCAGCCCGGAGGGTTCATCTGCCATTCCGTACGTACTCTATAGTCAAGAATGGAGAGATGAAAACGTTTCCCTCTTCTCGCGTGCCAGAACGGCGACCAGACATCGTCATGGTGTTCACCGGTCAAGGGGCTCAGTGGCCCGGGATGGGCGCTCGTCTATACGAGACGAACGCCAGGTTCAAGGAGTCACTGCTTCTCAGTGAGCGTGTTCTTGCAGAACTTCCAGAGGCCCCGAAATGGTCTCTAATAGAAGAGATCCACAATGGGGAATGTAGCAACATCCACAAAGCGCAGTACGCGCAGCCAGTTTGCACAGCTGTGCAGATTGCACTGGTGGACGCACTGGCCGAGGTTAACGTAAAGCCTTTTGCGGTGGTGGGCCATTCCTCCGGAGAGCTGGCGGCAGCGTATGCATCTGGAAGACTGACGGCGCGCGAGGCCATGATTTGTGCTTTTATCGAGGTTTGATCTCAGCAGAAGTTGTGCGGGTCGGGGCAATGGCTGCCGTTGGTATGGGAAAGGCGGAGATCGAGCCATTCCTTGTACCTGGCGTTGTTGTTGCTTGCGAGAATTCACCGTCAAGTGTGACTATCTCAGGAAATCTCGAATCCGTCAATGAAGTGACCAGTGCCATCAAAACCGGTTCGACTGCGCTAGCACGCCAGCTCAAGGTCGACACTGCATACCATTCTTGGTACATGACAGAGGTTGGCGGCAGGTACAAGTCCTTGTTGGACCGCTACCTAGGGAGCGGCACCGACTCATCGATTCCATTTGCCTCTTCGGTGGCCGGAGGGCTTGAACAGATTACTCTGAACACTGAGTACTAGCAGAGAAATCTGGAATGTCCGGTGCAGTTCAACCAAGCAGTTGGGGCAATTCTGGAGAGATTCAAGCAGCCCCTCTTCTTTCTCGAAGTAGGTCCTCACTCGGCCCTCTCGGGGCCTCTTCATCAGATATTCGATGACAAGTCTGTTACTCATGGCTATGAATCATGTCTTGTGAGATCGAAGCCCTGTTCTGAATCTTTCTTAGGCCTTGTGGGTCAGCTGTTTGCACAGGATCAGGCATTGCATATGGATGTGCTCACCGACCCGGACGGCACAGCGCAGGTCCTGGCGGATGCGCCGACGTACTCATGGGACCACTCCATGTCAAATGTGTATGCGCCACGAAGCATCAAAGAGTGGAAAAAGTCGCCATTCCCTCGACATGAGCTACTGGGGGCTAGGAATGTGTTCAGTACGGATGATCAACCATCTTGGCGCAACGTCCTCTTCTTCAAACATTTCCCTTGGCTCTTCGAGCACAAAGTGGCTGGAAATGCAGTGTTTCCTGCGGCAGGCTACATTGCAATGACAATTGAAGCGGTGCGGCAGGTTGGCGCAGGCGATGCGGGATATCAGATCCAAAACCTACAACTCAGTCATGCTATGGTGCTGGACCGATACAACACGATTGAGATAATGACTTCGCTTTGGCGATGCGGCAGTCGGTACGATTTCACTATCAGCTCTCACAATGACGTATCTTGGGTTGAGCATTGCTCAGGCCGGATCCGACGCGGAACCTCCTTCTCGAAGCCTCTGGAAGATAACCACTCATCTGATCTTACTCGTTCCACTGATCCCGCCAAATGGTATCAGATCTTAGCCAAGACTGGGGTCGACTACGGAGCTAGCTTCCAGGGAGTCCGCTCGCTTCGGTCGTCGTCTTCACGTCTGTACTCGTCGGCCACGGTAGTCTCTACCGTCAAGCAGACTGTGTACTATCCGATTCATCCCACAAAAATGGATGCTTGTTTTCAGGGGGTCTATGCGGCATCGTACCAGGGACTTGAGTGGAAGATTGGCCAACTTCCTTTGCCGACCCGGTTCGGGAAGATCAACATCCTCGACTGCGTGTCCAACATGACCTGCAATGTATCAGCGCATTCGCTCAGGCGAGGCGCTTTAGGCGCAAGTGCCGAAGCATATGCAGCAAATGGCACGATGGTGATGACTCTGGAGGATACACTGATTCAGCCATTGGGGGTAACCACAGTGGATACCAATAGCGGGAGCGGTGCGAGACTTCACTGGGGACAGGGAATTGACTTTGTTCCGTTGAGCAGCTTGGTTTCCTCGCCACCGGGTTGGACAGAGAATGCCATGATGCTAAGTCGCCTGACCAAAGCATGCATTGAAGACAGCTTGTCGCAGCTGGAGAAGCATGGGGTGACAAAGAGTGTTTCGCACCTTGCAAAATACCACGATTGGCTGCGAGCACATGATGATGCCAGGTCTTCTGGTCTAGTGGTGAAGGACATTGCTCAGCAGGCATCGAAAACCTCGATTGGGGCCTGCGCCACGGCCATGGTCAGAGTCGTGGACAACATTGTTTCGTTGTGCAAGGGCGAAGTCGGCCCAGTGGAACTGCTTCTAAGCGACGATACACTATTGGAAATGTATGACTACTTGAACATGGTCAATCGGACTCCACTGTTCAGGGCGCTCGGCCACCACCATCCAAGTCAACGGATCCTAGAGATTGGAGCAGGAACGGGCGGTACAACGGCCAAGATTCTTGGAGTGACTCAGTATTCTACATACACCTTTACTGATATCTCGGCCGCTTTCTTTCCGGCCGCCCGGTCGCGGTTCGAGATGTACCCTAACCTAATCTTCAAGACACTGGATATCACAAAGGATCCATTGAGCCAGGGATTCCTTCCGGAATCTTTCGATCTCATCGTTGCATCCAACGTGTTGCACGCCACTACGAGTCTCCGCGAAACACTGGTCAATGTGCGACGGCTTCTTCACCCTTACGGAAAACTGCTCCTAGAAGAGCTTTGCGGAGACGTCAAGTACTCCAACATCGTTACCGGCGTCCTGTCCGGGTGGTGGGCTGGTGAAGACGATAATCGGGCGGACGAGCCGTATATCAATCCCGAGAGGTGGGACGTGGAGATGCGGGCCGCGGGTTTCAACGGCCTGGACAGCCTCGCTTTTGATGTGGCTCCCTCACTTCAGGGCATGGCATACATGCTTACCAGTCCCAATACTAGCTCTGCTGATGCACTAGCATGGGATGAGTTGCAGAAAGGTCACGTCAGCCAAAACATCAATGGTATTGAGCCAAAGAACAGAGCCTCGCCTCATAGGACACTCAAATTCACAGTCCTTGTGTCCGATTCAGGGTCCTCAAAAACCGCTATAGTCTTCCAAAAGCAGCTGCGGTCTCGTGGGCACGAGGTGACGCTTCAGAGCCTTGGAGAGTCGTTGGCTCCCTCATCAGATGTCATTGTCCTAGTGGATACTGCTCTACCATTCTTCCACGATATCTCTGCTTCCAACCTATCTAGATTCCAACACTTCTTGCGCGAGCTGCAGCGATCACACTCAGGGGCGCTTTGGGTGACTCAAAGCAGCCAGGTGGGGTGCAAAGACCCGCGTTATTCGCTGTCAATCGGCGTGGCTAGGACGTCTCGCACAGAGTTTGGCGTCGATCTCACTACTTGCGAGTTGGACACTGTAAATTATACTGCGGTGGCTCTAACGCTTGATGTGTTCGAGCAGTTTAGGAAACGTGTTGAGACCGAGACATATCTGCGCGAGATGGAATATGTAATCCACGAGAACTCGGTTCTGGTAGGGCGCATGCAGCCTTTCTCAATGCAGGGAGAGGTTGAAAACCCAGGACGTATGGCATTTATCAGGAATGATTCGAGGCTTGTATTTGACTCTGACACGTCAAAGTGGGTAGTGCATGCACTACAGCGAACCCTCGGGCCAGATGAGGTTGAAATTGATGTTGATACAGCGGGTGTGAGCTATCTGGTATGTTTCTAATCCTTCACTAGATGAGGGGCAGTGTTCGGTACTAATGGCTTCTCTTCACAGGATGTTCTCAATGCCGCAGAAATCGGTGCACTCTCTGGTAGTGGTCTGGGGGTTGACGCTGCCGGAACTGTGCGCCGTGTTGGCTCCCACGTCACAGATCTCTCCCCTGGGGACCGAGTGATCGTACTTGGGTCCGAATGCTTCAGCACGTCCGTTACTGTGGCCAGGAAATGCTGCGCTCGAATCCTGAACGAGTTATTGTTAAAGGATGCAAGCACAATGCCCTTGGCCTTTGCTACTGCTATTCATTCTCTGATCGATGTCGGCCAGCTCAAGAAAAATCCGGTTAGTTACAATTATCTCTCCCCTACCATAATTGTAACGTTATGCTGATGGATGGGCTTCTTAGACTGTGTTGATTCATTCAGCATCTGGAGGGGTGGGGAGCGCTGCTATCCAAATCAGTCAAATGATTGGAGCCGAAATTTACGTAACTGTCGGAAGTGACAAGAAAGCAGAAAGCTTGATGAAGACCTTCGGAATCTCTCCGAATCGAATTTTCGATTCTCGTACCGGATCGTTTGTCCGTGGCATCAAGGACGCAACTAATGAGCGCGGGGTAGACTTGGTCTTGAACACGCTGTCCGGGGACCTATTTGCGGCTTCATGCGAATGCGTTGGACCGGAGGACAAGCTCATCAACCTCGTCAGAAAAACAGGCAACAAAACTCGGACACCCTCGAAGTTACTTCTGAACAATGTGTCACTCATCACAATTAACATCCTCAATCAATTGAAGAGAGATGAAGCAGACGACGCCCCTGGACCATTACCCGCTCGAATCATGGACCTCTATTCTCAGGGACAAATTCGACCATTGACCATTGCAGAGACGTTTTCTGCGCGCGATTTTCAGCAGTGTCTCCGGTTCATGGAAGCTGGATAGCATATTGGCAAAATGTTGTTGTCTATGGGTGAGTCTGAGGGGTTGCCGCAGTCTTCGCATCGGTTTTCCACCATGAGGTTCAAGAGCGATGCATCCTATCTACTCGTTGGAGGTCTCGGCGGACTGGGTCGTGGTCTCGTGCGGTGAATGGCTGAGCACGGTGCAGCACACTTTATGTTTTTATCACACAGTCCTGGAGCTGAGGCGCACAAAGAGCTATTTTGCGAGATGGAAAGAAAAGGGTGTACCGTGACGGTGGTCCGGGGAGGTGTTTCCAGTCTTGTGGACGTGGAAAAAGCCATTTCTGCATCACCAGAACCGCTCAAGGGCATTTTCAACCTATCCATGGTGTTGCAGGACGGGTCGCTGCTAACTATGTCTCTGGCTGACTGGAAGGCCGCGACGCAACCCAAGGTTCAGGGCACGTGGAATCTGCATACTGCGTCTCGACAAGTAGATCTGGATTTCTTTGTACTATTCAGCTCCATGTGCGGTATCATTGGGATGCCGAACAAGCCAACTACTCGGCGGGAAATACTTTTATGGATGCCTTCGTGCAGTATCGACACAGCCAAAGCCTGCCTGCGTCAGCTATTGACGTGGGGGCCGTCGAGGGAATTGGCTGGACTGCGGAAAACACAAAGACTCTAGAACGATCGAAGTGGCTCGAGAGTGCAGTCATGTCGCAGCAGGAGCTGTTCCAGGCCGTCACACTAGCCATCCTTGGATCGTCGTCTGGCGACCTACTCCAACCGGGATTCCGCAGCCCATGGCGTCGATGCTAGTGGTGCTGGCACCGTTGGAGATGCTCTGAGGGGCTTCATCGCCACGCTGCCGGCCAACGTTGACAAGTTAGATGACCCCAACACGAGCAAATTCATCGTGAGGGAGATTGCAGCTTGGGTCTTTGATCTTCTTCTGAAGCCCATTCAGGATGATGACGAGATCGATCTCGCCCGCTCGTTTGTCGACATTGGATTGGACAGCCTGGCAGCCGTCGAGCTGCGCAGCTGGTGGAAGGCAACTTTGGGCCTGAACATCAGCGTATTGGAGATCTTTTCGTTTGCGAACTTGGCTGCCATGGGTGATCATGCAACCAAGGGGTTAAGGGCAAAGTTTACATCTGCTTCTTAAGGGGTTCGCGCATGCTTCGCACAAGAACTGCTGTTCAGTTTAGGAAGGCTTTAGTGTAAGTTAGTGAGAGACTGAAGATTAAACAACTCAACGCTTGCCCTCGTCGAACATTTTCTTTGGTTGAGGAGGTTGATATTCCAAGCTTGGTTGGACGTGGTTCACCATTTGTGATACCTGTTCAATAATCAGAGGTAGATAGTTGATCATCAAGCTTATCCCCACGTATTCCCAAACTTAGCCCATACTACAAGGCGGGCCGCTACCATTACTGAGGTGCCGCTTGCGTGTCGGCCAAAGCCGACGTCGTTCCGTGTATTTTGGCTCCAACATGCTGCAACTTAAGCAATGCCGTCCTGGTTTGACTTTATTCTAAGCATCGGGACTCTACCAAGGTATTCACATGAACAATGGACGCTATCACTACGCATGACCATATTGCAACTCTACTCAGTGCCGCAAGATCGACCCGCCATATATTCGTGGCCATATTCACTATAAATACTCTACCGGTCGTAAGCACCATGAGCGGCCACTATGATTGTCACGATCAACATAGTGATCATAGTTTAGTAGGGTAGATGATAGACCCTTTTGAGTATAGATTTACTATTGATTATCACTAATAGTTATCATTATCATTGTAGTAAGAAGTGAATAGAGGTATTTAGTTCCAAATTAAAAGATACTAAAGAGATTATATAGACTTTTCTTCATATCCTTACTGCGTAAGATAAAAAATTTAATCTATTACTTTATATCGGATAGCATTAGAAGTAGAGAAAGAAGTATTCTAGAAAGGAAAAACTTATACTATCTATCCTCTTTAGTAGGTATAGCATAACAGGTCGTTCTCTGTGGTCATAATAGCGGAGACAGGCAGATCGTCTGCCAGTTTCATAAAGGGCATAACGTCGGTGAGAGCAGCGGGAGGATCCACAGGAGCCACCTCACCAGGGGGGAGGGGGCGGCCACCAGCGCCTGGAGTGATTTCGCGTTTGCCAGCATATTCGGTGTTGCGGACTGACGGGTTACCCTGCTGCCATAACCACCACAGGCGATCGACTTGGGCATGGTGCAAAAAGAACAATGGCTCATTGGGTGACGAAGAGGGACCCATGTCGCCCATTTTGCCACCAACTGCGCTATGGATGGAGCCATGTGGCCGGTTCTCGAGTTCGAACTCAAATTCAACGAAGGTGTCTAGAGCGTTAATGGTGGCGATAGCCTCGGGTGTGTAGGCCGAGCTACGCATAGTTCCGGGTCGAGAGGTGCCGTCGAAGAAGTCGCGCGATAAGCAGTGCGGTGCATATTCTGTCAGGACATAGGCCGGGCGTATGTCCTTGAAGGGCCCGTCGGTCAGGCATTTCCATTCCCTGTTATGAGCATCGGCTGTTTTTTCAGTCTTGTTACCGCCATTGCCGCCGAATCCGTGTTCAGCATCCCATATATCAGACCCAGCTACATCTGCGACATCGAGGGTCCAATCCCAGTACCTGTCGTTTGTGTCAGGCAAATTCCCTTTTGTTCACATCACGTATGGATCTCACCAAAACTTACACCATGGGGCCTGTGTAACCACAGCCATTAAGTTGCTTCTCGTAAAGATGCACGAAGTATCTGTGCCAGGGCAGGAACTGGGCGACATAGTGAACTGTAGAAAAGGTTTAGCTGGGAAGCTATCCGGATACTTGTTGGGTCATCTCCAATTCAATTACATACTCTCTGTGTTGAGTTGAGTGTGCACGTAGACAAAGTCATCGTATAAGGTTGTGCTCAGGCCGAGCATTGAGGGCTTGGTGGTCAGGCATTTGACGGCATCCGTATACTGCTTGCGGGCGACGTTGTCTAGGGTACGGAACTCGACACGCTTAACGGGATTCGTACATTTAGTCGCCTCTTGACGCGGAAGCACGCGCGCTGCAGTGAAGCCCGCAATGAGTAAGATGCTAGACAGATGCATGCTTGTCGGGTTGCAGTAATCTGTCGTGAATCCGAAAATTGTTTAGAGTAGCTCAAGTGATGAATGGATAAGACCGATCGATTGAGCAGCTACTTCAAGATGAGAAACAAGGAACGAATGTAAGACAGATAACGCCGCGAGATGGATGCTATACATGGACGGCGATGCTCAACCTCTTTATGTATTTTTCATATTCTAATCTCGTATCTGGTCCAGTTTTCTTTTTCGCGAAGCATCATTGACTGGATTGTTCCACCAAGGCTCCAATAGTCTGCATGATCAAAGCTTCTCAATCCTTTCTCGTGTTGTCGAACGCTCAATCTCGCTTGGCATATCGTCTGATTGGCGTTTGGGAAAGGTGTACTCCAGGATGTTGAACATAATAAGCGGCAGTTGCCAGAGCAGGTACGAGTTAAGTGCAGATACGGGACACAGAGCCGAACTCACTGTGCAGATCTTAGTTCCATATGCAACTTGAGTCATTATACTTGCAACATGTAAAATGCCCATTTGTGGCAAGAGAGATCTCTAAATTTAGATTTTAGAAAAAGGGATTGTCATATTTGCGCACTCACTGCTCTAATTCGCCGAATGAACTGCCGCTAAAATCATGAAATTCCATTGTGATATATTGCGGAATTGATGTATATGGGTCACTGGTAAAGGGGTCACACAGGCCGAGGTAGCGTGTAATATCTCTGATTTAAGGAATGACACCTATACTATATGTTGTATCGTTGATATCATAGTTATAAAGAAAACTCTAGTTTTTCTCTGCAATAAGTTAGGTAGGGAGAGAGTCACCTGAACAAGAGCATGATGATCACTTTAGCGTCTCCACAGTACAAACTTTGCGCCATGTGCCCCAGTACATCCACGCGACTCGTCGTATTTTTGGTGGGAGTGGGATGGGGCCGAAACCTTGCTGATCTCTTGCGACCATTCTATACATAGCAGGACACGAAGAGCGCTTTGTTTTCGGGAATTCGCTTGATCCATTCGTGCGCGAAAGAAGTGAGGTTACATTAGCATGTGTGAAGCAGGGGGGTGGTGTTGCTGAGCACTAACAATCGCGCGAAATCTGGCCGAAAATCAGAGCACACATGTATCCTCTCGGTCACCCAAATCCTCAGGTTTCTTTGTATGCCGAGCTACGTCACTGCTTTAACATAAACCCGTATCGTTCATCGTCTACCCTTGTGGCCTTCTTATTCGAGTTCAATGTCCTTTTTTTCAAGCACGCCATTACATCTATCCAACGTACTCCTTAACTATACAGAGCAAGACTCAGGCATTGAAACTTTCTCACACGCGCACCTAATTCATCTTCTCTAGTGGACACATTATGATTCCAGTTTGAGAGGATATATATGTGCCATGGGTGCTTCTTTGCTAAGAGAGTAACTAAGACAATTCCTACAAGGTCACTCCCAAGGTTTGATATTGATATACCGCCGGTTAGACTGATAAAGAGGCCCGTATCAGTGTTTTATCACAGATTTATGTCATTTGGAAATAGCAAAGAAGATTGCGCTGAAAAGAGTAATAGTTTGAAACTGTGAAAGCATAGATAGTTGTGATCCAGACTAAGTAGCGGAATACACGAAAGGCGTGTTCTGCACGTACATATGGTGTATTTGCACGTCTGATTAGACACTTTGTTCCCATTCGACCCTATTTTGACTATTGAGAGATCCGGGCTGTCAGTAGATTGGTGAACCCGAGCCACCTTTACTACGAAATATCAACACCATCACAATATTATTTTGAATTTTACCTAGATAAGATCAACAAGCTACCTCTACATGTTCTATTCCGACGTGCATATCAAATAAAATACCACTAGTGGTGTTGCAGCAGCAGTAAAGGCTCCAAGCGCGCTTTATATTTTCGGCGCTGGGCGACTTTATCTCCGACTTCATCGGTCGACCGAAAGCCTGGCACCGTTGATAGGATATTTCAAGCAACCTGGTGTCGACGCCAAGTAGATAGGGAAAGAGCTAGATTTACGGCCGGTCGAACTTTGACGGACCAATGCCACACCTATGGAATGAGTATAAGAGCGCATCAGTGCTGATAAATCGGAAACAGGCATATCCCTCAATCTCAACCATATTTCACCGGGCGTTCGTTGTGTTCTATACCCATCATTCTATACCGTCGAACTCCTTGTTAGTGAATTGATCGGCATGTCTACCGTAGTTGCAGTTGCCGGCGGAACCGGCGGTCTCGGCCATGCTATTATCGACGCCCTGAGGTCAGATAGAAGGTACGAAGTCCTTGTTCTGAGCCGAAAGGTATGTTTGTTTCCCCTTCCTTCTAATCTCCAGCCCAATTCTATACTCACCTAGATTCCATTATACAGGCGAATCCAAAATTCGAAGAGGACAACAAGATTCGCGTTCTCAATGCGAACAACTACTCCGATGCCGACCAGCTCAAGACTTTACTTGAACAGAATAGAGTTTCAGCAGTGATCTCAATCTTCAATGGTCCTTTGGGTTCCCAAGAAGAGCTGAATCTTATTGAAGCCGCTGAGCGTTCGAGTACAACCAAGAGACTCATACCTAGCTTATTCAGCGGCTTGCCCTTTACTGACGAGTAAGTTCAATATCTTTAACTCTAGTTCTTATACGCGTCATAGTAGCTAATTACGTCGGTAATCAGACACGCTGAAAACCCTGTTTTAGCCTTACACGTAGCCGGTTACAAAAGAATAACTGAAGCACTTGGCCAGACATCACTAGAGTTTGCAGTGATCCACCCAGGCGTTTTCATGGACTATTACGTTCCGCTCCCCACACACGTGACAGTTCTACCAATCGTCGTCTCCCTATCCGCTAAATACGCTGCGATACCAGGTTCTGGGAATGTTCCAGTATCGTTTACACATACTTCCTCAACCGGCAAGTACCTGTCGCATCTTCTGGCTAAACCTCCAGGGACATGGCAGAAACGGTACTTCATTTCGGAGGATAATCGAACTTGGAACGAGGTTGTTGCATTGGCAGAGAAACACATGGGAGTAAAATTTGAAGTCGTGTATGATAGTTCAGAAAAGACAAGCAGGGGGGAAGTGAGTGAAATGCCGGGAATAGAGGTTCTTTACGAGTCGTTTGGGGGTGGGGAAGAAGCGAAACGGTTTGTGATGGGGTGGCTTGCAGGGTATGCTCAGTGGATGGAGAAAGGTCATTTCTGCTATCAGGAGGGGCCTCTCTTAAGTGAGGAGTTCAGCGATGTAATTGAAAAGCTAACTTTCAAGAAGGCGTGGGAGATGGCGGGAAAGAGTGCTTAGAACCAGTGTATCTATATCTTCATGCTAGTACTAAGAGAAGTCACGCCTTTAGCCATATGTCATTGTCTTTACACTACTATATCTACTAACTACTTTGTTATCGTGAGCGACTTGGCGGGGTACTTGGGGCGAAGAGCACAAGGGTGAAAGCAGAATGACTACAGTAACGAAAGAAATAACATATATCATTCCGAAGACACTATTATTCATCAAAGTGAGTTGCAGAATACCTAACATACGCATCTCCACCATGCTCAACTATCTTGAGTCTTCTGCAGGATAACCCTAATCATCTCATTGCCGAGCTTAGTTGCCTCGGGAAACCTGGGCTCAAAGTATTTTTGAATCTGTTCAAACTTATCCCTGTAGCCATCAAAGTTGCCCAGGATAACACGCGAGCTCCAATCTCTGGCTGCGAAAGTAAATTCGAGGTCATCGGCGCGGAACGTGTTGTCATCAATGGCCGTGTCAATGGCTTCTTCGAGTAGAGCAGGGTTGCAGAAGAGATACTCGGTGATTCCGAGCCACATGCGCGAGGGCTAAAAATGCAGTGGTCAGTGAACCAAGGAAAGTTCATGTATGTTTTGTCGAGTTTCAAAAAAAATGGTTGGTTCTTACCGGCGTGGAGCAAATCATGTGGTCATAGGGCACTATGCCCAGCTTCCACCAACAGTCTACCATGGCGAGCAAGCTTAGGTGGTTATTTTTCAGCTTCTTCTCTGGAATTGTGCCTAGGGCAAACTTGTCAAGCAGGTCATCTCGGAGCAATAGCTTCTTGCCACTTGCATTGTCGCCAAATACAGCTTTACGCGCAGCATGCACACGTTCGCGTAGTTCATCCCGCTGCCCAGCGAGCATAAGCTTGAACAGTTCAGTGACTGATTCAGCATACTGCTTGATCTGCCTCTTGGCATCTGGATTGAGAATTGCCAGTCCAGCATAGACGTGCCATTTGTTGGAATAGATGCGGAGAGTGATGTTCATCTTGACATTTTCGATACCACCAACGTAACGGGAGCTGTCCCACGGGTACTGGTTGTTGGCATACCATGCGCCACCCATACTCAAAAAAGCGGCGTGTGTTACTGCTTGCGTATCCGCTGTGATGCGATCGTGTTGCTCAGCACTAAGGTAGACGTGCTTGGAGCCAAGGCAGGACATGATATTCTCCACAAAAGCAAATTCATCATCCGAGGCGCGGTACTTGATCAACACCAACGGTTGGCCTTTCGGATCTATACCAGGCCCATGTAGGGAGTGCACGGAGACGATGCTGACATCCTTGGGAAGGTGCTTGTTAAAAGCATCCATTTCTGGGGTCTTGCATGAGGTTTGCCCGCCAACTATGGCGCCAACCTTGGTAGCTATACGCAAGACAGGTCAGTTTTGGATAATGTCAGCAGCAGCAGGAGCATCGGCATACAAGGACCAAAGGCCTTCACAACCGCATCGATATTCTTGGCCTCAACGCTGTAAATGATGTAGTCGCTGCACCGAGACACAAGATGGCCGTTTTGCATGATTTCCACTTTAGGCTGGCACAGTCTCAGCATGAATTCATTCATTGAGGTTATATAAAAGTGCTATCCTACAAAGTCCTTGAACTCTTCTACTAATGAATCAAACTTATCCGGGAGGTCGCAAGCGTGGACCCTTGAGAGGCATCGAATTAGCAAAGCTGATCAAGGCAGCAATCTGTGAGCAACTGGTTAGCAAAGTTCGTGCGACAAGTATGAACTAAGCGGATGGGAGTTGGTGTAGTTCAGAGTTGTATAAAGTTAGGTAGCGAGAATTCACATCATGGACGACGCCGTGGCCAGATGCTGAAAACCAAGACGGCAACAGCGCGGACACGACGCCGTACTCGAGCCAAATGCACTCACGGTCATCATAACAGGGGGGTGAGGGGAGTGAAGGAGGTTGTGACTTACCAATTGCAAAACCAGTCGAGCGAGGACTATGGCACGCGCGAATGCACTCACTTCCATCCAGCGCTGCTTAGGCGTCGAGCATACATCTTGCCCATGTCGCCCATGCCAATGAGGCCAACACTCTTGCCGTCTTGCATGGTTGCAGTGGTGTCGCACGCTCCTGTGCGTGGGTGGGCGTGTTGGTGTTCAGCCCATGGCGAAAAGTAGAGGCAAGAGCTGAAGGCGTCTCACGGCTGATAGAGAAAAGTTAGGTCGGCGTCTTGGCGCGCTAACAGCGGCGTTACGTTCCTCCGCACACAAGCGATTTCCACCCACCAGAAAGTTCGTCTTTGCAGTCGCCGACAGCATCACGAATCCGCCAGTCACGCCCAGATCGTAATTACCGCCAACATGCCTCCCAAGCAGAAGGTCGCCCGCGCTCCCCAGGAGAACATCCAGCTCGGACCCCAGGTCCGCGAGGTTCGTCATGGCGAGACAATTGCAAACAGCAGCAGCATGAATTGACCATCTTGTAGGGTGAGCTCGTCTTCGGTGTTGCCCGTATCTTCGCCTCGTTCAACGACACCTTCGTCCACATCACCGATCTGTCTGGCCGCGAAACCATCTCCCGTGTCACCGGTGTAAGTGCGCCCAAAACGCAATCGCTATATGCGACAGTCGCTGATCAGTACAACAGGGCATGAAGGTCAAGGCCGACCGTGACGAGAGCTCTCCCTACGCCGCCATGTTGGCAGCCCAGGATGTCGCCGCTCGCTGCAAGGGTAAGTCGGGCCATTTCGAGGGGTTACTTTTTTTGCACAGACTAAACATATGCAGAACTCGGAATCACCGCTCTCCACGTCAAGATCCGAGCTACTGGTGGTAACGGCACCAAGACCCCCGGCCCCGGTGCCCAGTCCGCTCTCCGCGCTCTTGCCCGTGCTGGCATGCGCATTGGACGTATCGAGGACGTCACCCCTACCCCATCCGACTCGACCAGGAGAAAGGGTGGTCGCCGTGGTCGTCGTCTCTGAGCGTATGCGCGCAAGTGGCTCTCAGTGGTGGAATATGGCATGGCATGGTTTGCACGATTTATGGTTTCATGACCACAATAAAGTCGCGGGGAACGGCGAAACTGCCTGGTCTCCATGTTGAACTTGGCTTCTCGTGCGAGAGATAGTCGAGCTAAATCAACAGAATCCTTTTTAGTTTGAAAAGGCTTCCCGACAATGAAGTGCTATTGCTGTGTTGATCAAAAAAAAAGGTGTTCATTTATACATTACGATTACGACTTTGTACTGGTATACCGTGATGGGCAACATTAGATGTCGACGACTTGGATGGAGTTGGCCAGACGCCCTGTGTTTCCATGCATCTGGGCTGCGTTGACCATGATAGTATTGGGACTTTGGCCTCCCCATACACGATCCCATAGTAGTTCCCTTATGCCGCGGTATATGACCCTTACGACATTCCACCATAGGATTGGGTTCAACAGCCCACGAGTCCATTTGGACTGGATTGATAGCCCTTGCACATAGGCATCGTGTGCCTTGTCCCACCAGACGACCGTCTGTCCAGCCCCCCAGTGTACGTGACCAAAGACATGTAGAGCAGGCTTCACACGCCGAACCTCGGCCAGCAGGTGCTCGCAGCCCAGGCCCACTGGCAACGAAAGGTCGCGGTAGAATTTCGGTGGTGTATGCGTGACCAGAATATCTATGTCCTCAGGCACAGTCTCGGACCACGCATCTTGACCCCGCTCGTACTGGAACGCGTGAACATTCATCGGCCCACAGGCGGGTATCTGCGGCGCGCCATATATACGTATGCGTCTCTGGCACTGCTCCGCAGCCAGCAACGGCGTGTTCACACTGATACCAGCAACAGCATCGTCGTCGCCATGCACACGTGGCTGGACCTTGATTGTGAGACTGACGCGTCGATGCTGCAAGTAATGCACTCTCTTCCAATTCAACGCGCCTCGACGCTGCGCTTCCGGCAGCGAAGCCCGCACCCTCGGATCGAGAAACGTGTCGTGGTTCCCGGCAATGACTACGATTTCCCGGTGCGGCAGCGCGCTCAGCCAGTCAATCTGCTTTTGTATCTCGGCCACGCTGCCCTCGTTGGTCATGTCGCCAGCGTGGATGAGCACGTCGCCATCGGGGACATGGTCGGGGATCTGGCTGTGCGTGTTTGATATGCACACGACGCGTATGGGAAGGTCCTGGCGGGGCTTGGGCGTCGAGTGCAGCTGGCTGAGGAACTGGTAGGTGTGGTGGAGTAGGAGCTTGACGGGCGCTTGGAATGAGAGGGCGGCTAGGGATGCTGGGTCGAATTCGGACGGTGGGCGGTACCAGGGGTTCAGATGCTCGAGAAGCATTGCCGAGGGTACGTGCTGTCGCTTTTGTGGCGGGCGCGTCTTGGAAGAGCGTGCTGTGTGTTGTTGTAACATACAGTAATGCATAGGAGAATGACTAAAGTCTATCTTCTCTAGTGGTCTCGTCTATTCAGCTAACATGACTACAACTCTACCTATTTATCCATCTGTTTGGCTATAATACTATTCATCTTGAAAATAAATGTACAAGATGAAGGTAATGTTTTTCTATTAAATCACTTTCCTGACCTAATATTAATTCCACGCAACTTCGCATGTTAAAGACAACAATGGATGCAACTCGTCAACAAGGACTTGGTGGGAAACCTCAAGTTTTTTCCCACCAAACTCCCACGATTGTATACATTTTAGAGCATCAAAAACCACATAGCGGGGATTTGGTACAACTGCGTACACATCAGCTGTCGAAAACAATAGTTGTGAGCATCAAACAATGCAATAGAGCTAAATTCCATGTATATACATCCTCATTTACTCAACAGCCCAAAACAAAACAAAAAACGCAACAACTGAATCCCCCGGGTATCAGAAAAACAAAAGTTGAACAACCGTCATTTCCGCAATCCACACACATACCCAGCCACATACATAGATTCCCCACGGAAACATTTTATTTCTTCTCCTCCGGACTTGCTCCACTTTCAAACTCGCATGACTCTCCGATATCGCAAACGCCAAAGCCGCCTCTACCATGCTCGATACCCTTCCATGCACATGCTTCCTTGAGCTCTTTTGGCGGCGCCATGACCTCTTCCTCTGTCAAAACCCAAGTTCCCCAGTGCATGCCGAGTGCCCTTACACAGCGAGTGTCCACGAAGATGTTGACTGCGTCTTTAGGGTTTGCATGGACGTTGCTAAAGGCCCAGCGGGGCTCGTATGCGCCAATGGGAATGAGGCCAAGATCAAAGGGGCCTCTGTGTTTGCCGATTTGCGCAAAGGCCGGGCACGTAGGGAGATGCGAGTATGCGGCCGAGTAGTCGTCTTCTGTTGCGGGGATGCCTTTGGGGACGGTTCGGTAGCCAGTGTCGCTAGAAGAGAAAACATTTGCTCGTCAGTAAATTGGATTGTTTGAACGGAGAGAGAGAAAAAATCATAAAAGGTGTGGGAGGTGAGAACATCGTTCGTAGACATACCCAGCAAAATATACTTTTGAGCCACCAGATTCGACGCTCCAGCTAGCCCAGAGGGTCTTGCACTTGTCAAAGGGGCCTCTGGCACTGACATGCTGACAAGGCAGTGCCCCAATGGTCGCGGTGATGGCACCACTCCCACCCACCTTCTTGTCCGCTTCTGCATTGCCACTCGGAACAATAGATACGGCGTCGTTTTTTTCTTGTAATTGCACGTCTCTGCTCTCCCACCAGTCCAACTCGGTCACTTTGGTCACACCGCTTTTAAGAAACCAGTCCTTGTTGCCCAAGGGCGCAAAATAATGTGCCTCAGGGAACTTTTTGTGCAGCCGCTGGATGGTCGGGTAACTCAGGTGATCGTAGTGATTGTGACTGATGACTACGGCGTCTACAACCGGTAGATCTTCTATCTCGCAAGGAGGAGGCGTGAACCGCTTTAGACTCTTGATGGTGACGGGCGCGCAGCAGTCTTCGAAGACGGGATCAAAAAGTACGCGGAACCCACTAGGAAACTCGACGTAATAGCATGCATGGCCGAGCCATGTTGCACGTAATTTGGGAGTTTCGCGAGTGGGAAGGAAAGACGCAGTGTGAACGGGAACAGTGGGTGGCGTGGTGTCCGGGATATTTACTTGACCAGTGATTTTGCGCCTGGATGGGTATGTCAGATTATGATTTCTGCATAGATATTTGTTTGTAAAGAAACATGGGTCTTACCAACCCAGGCCCGTGAGCAATTGCCATGGAGTAGCATCGACATAGCTGTCCCATGGATTGGTAAAGCCCTTGCCGTTCTTCAAATGATGTCTCTTATCCGCTGCGTCCTCGGGTGTGGCACCAATCTGCGCTGGATTGCTCACTGCAGCATACAGCCCGGCACCAATAGTTGCGCCTCCGATCGAGCTCATCTTGATTGTCGTACTAAACTGTGGTGTTTGCAAGAAACACTGGTAGCTCCGAGCTTTGCGTCGGTACTGTGTAAGTCGCGCTTCATTTACCTGTAGTCTCAAGCGACGAGAAAATATCGAAACCAGGGAAGACATTGCATATATATGTATGTGTACTTGTGAAGCGTTAGGCTCGGTCTCACTAATTGCTGCGGCTGTGGCTGGCTGTGCACACACACAAAGGCTCAGACACGCGCGTCTTCTTACAGGCGGACGAAGAAGATTAGACCACGCGGTCTCTGGTCGTCCAGAGTTGGCGGTAAGACTGCAGATGAGTCTCAAGCGGGCAAGAAACGCGGCATAACGGAGTTAACATGGTTGACGTAGTGAGATAACCGAGCCATGTATCTGGCTAGCGTTGCGCAGCACATTGCTATAGGCCCACCTAATCCACTCGCCGTCTTTTCTCGCCATTCAGCAGGGAATCCGTGTTCGGACAAATTTTGGCATGGGGTTGCGCGATCTGTTGTTCACTGTTTTCAGCTTGAATCGAGAGACTGATTGGTCAGGGTTCGTGTGTTGGTCAGCCTCGTGCATCGCATGCTGCTGCCTGCCCGCGGGGGATTTCGGGGAGTAGTTCGCCCGCTCATACAGGCCTGTCAGCATGAAAAGAGAGACATGCACCTTCAATTAATACTTATCCTTCAGATACTACCCTCTTTAGGCGGGGCTGAGGTCAGCTATGATGTTAGGATGCATACACAATCAATTCAAGATCGGTATGTCTCGCATGTGAGCAAAGCGGCTATCACACCAGCACAGACCGTTGTAGCATCCATCCTATTCTTTCCTACGCTCCACTATCATACTATTACGAAGTATCTATGTACAGCCAGGAACGCACGTTATGCAAATAATATGCCGAAATGAAAACAATTCAGATTGAATCGCATATACTAGACTAGTTTTCTGCTTACGAGAAGAAGTCACTGTCTTCTAATACCCTGCTTTGCCAACCAACAAAGGCCTATGAAGCCCAACTCATGCCCTCACACCTCCCCAAACGACCTAATCATACACAGCAAAGAAAAAACACTCCATCACTACCCACATTTGGAACCTGAGAAGAGTCATGTTTTCCTTATGCGACTTCGTCGCTTTTCTAGGATTTTTTTTTTCGCATTCTGGTGTGTCCCGGGATATCAGGATCTTTCAATGTATAACAGTAGTACACTAAAGAAAGAAAGGGAAAAAAGCAAAGAAAAAGCCCAAAATAATACTTCCTCCGTTTGCCCGAAATGATGCACAGGCTGGGAAAAGCCTGTAGAAAAGCGAGAGGTATTTTGTTCCCACCGCCCGAATAGAAAAAAGCGAATTCCTTATCGCCCATCTTGTGCCATTAATTACAACCCGACTACAGCGGAAGGCCACAATTGAAGAAGGAAAGAAAAAAACATTCGTGAACGTGATAAGCAGCCCTCCAGCAATGGCAGATCCGTTGGTAGCCACCAACGTATGGAGTGCGAGGAGTGACTTGGCGCCCTGAAAGCGCCAGCCTGCCCCAAAGAAGAAACAACCATGAACCAATGGATAAAGGAGCCCTCCCGTGCATATTCTTAGAGGAAGCGCTGAGGAAATGAACAATCGTAAAAGTGCAAGGTGGCACCCCAGGTGGTAAAACATTAACGCCGAGAACCCACAATTTCGCTGACATGCTCCTATCAGACCATGGACAAACCAAAGTCTAAAACGTAATACCCATGATAACAAAGAGCGAAAGGAGAAAGAGAAGAAAAAAAGGGGGGACGACAATTGGGAAATCTATCGTGCAAAATGATTGCAAGCCTGATGCGTTTTCGTAAGATCCGGAGTGGCGCCAATATGTGTGCAAATAGCTTAGGGAATAGGGCGGTTGCGCCGTAGGAGGGTCCGGTAGTCTAGGCTTGAGGGAATCGAAGCGACCAAACGTATCCAGTGGCCGGGACTGGATGATCCGGGTGATGGCTTCGGTAAGCCGGGGTACTTTGTGTAAATGAGCAGAAACTTTTTGAACAAAGGAAGCGCTGAAATGGGACGACGAATGTGTATCCATGGAAAGTCAACAAGACTGCGTCGCAATGACATCCAGCGAATCGAGGCCAGCTTTAGACAGCGACAGCCTGGGGGCCATAGCCGGGAGCCATGAAGTATGGGGGATGTCTTTGGACACAGTACGCACATCCACAACTCAGGCCATGCTGGTTCCATGCAGAAGGCGTGTACTGTGAGTAAGCTGGTGGGCCATAGTTGGATGACTGCTGGGACGCCTGTACGGGGGCGGGCTGAGACAAGGGTGGGAAGCCGAACATGGTGCGACGCGAATATCCCTCAACGGGAGCCCAAGTGCCCGTCGCGCCATAATACTCGGGAGTGGTGGGACCCGTGGTAGGTGCAGACGCAGGGGAGTGTTCGCTTGCGGACCTCCATGGATCGTACTGGGAATAAGATGGAGGGTTGTAGTGTGCAGACTTGGGCGCATAGTCATACGATGGAGTGTAAGCCTGCTGCATCGGCAGAGGAGGAAGCGGCTTGTTGGAGTTGAATGAGCGTCGGTGCATCGTAGTGTCAATGGGACTAAGCTTGCTAGTACGATCTGCGCGGGCAGCAGCGGTCTTTTGGTACTCCTTCCAGTGTTCTGACCAAGAGGTCCAGCCCTGTTGCTCGGCGGGGTCGCGATGAAGCTTGAACTTGATAGCAAGGAGCCACTCCAACTCGAGCTCGTTCAGCTCATGAACCTGGATACCGCTGACCTCTGACCAAGAACGGTTGATGAAGGTGTTGTCATCCAAGAACTTGCTACCAAGCACTAGCGCAATGGTAAGCAGGCGGAACAAATGGGTATCCGTCTTTGGCTCGTGAGCCAGCATCGGCATCCTGTTGGACAGATAGAATATACTGAGCAGGATGGTTGCCGAGGGAAGCCTCGTGGCACAAAGGACTTGGTGCACCCATTTTCGGAAGGTGGAAGGCATCATTCGACCGGGGGTAATGAGGCGCAGGGCTGTGTCGCATACGAAATCGGTCATGACCTCCATGTCGTAGTCCAACTTGGCTGAGACTCCACCAACGGGCTTCTCTTCCTTGGCCTGCTGGCCTACGCGCTGGTTGTACTCGTGCAGCCGTTGCTGTTGCTGCTGTTGCTGCTGCTGCATTGCTGCATCCGCCATCGAGTTTCCAGACTGCATGCGCATCGGGGGAAGAGTGGCGCCCATGGGATCGTAGAACGAGTTGTTGGGAGGGAGACTGGGGGGCGCAGTGCTCAGGTAGGTGCCAGCCTGCGGGTACATGGGTGGCATGGCGATGGCCAGTTGGCCGTAGCGGTCTGCGAAGTCGTAACCATCATCTTGTTGGCGGATCGTAGGACCAGCATAAGCAGGCTGTTGCGGTGGGTATGATGCACCGCATGCAGAGTGATAGCTGGGCACGAACTCTGGCGGAGAGAGCCGTGGCATGTTATGCCGGGGGTAGAAGGAAGGCATGATGGTGTCGGACCGTCGCAGAGAGAAGACTGGCAAGGCTCCTGGCACTGTGTTAGTGAAGGACTTGTAGCAGCGACAAGTGAGGAGGCGTGGCGTGTCGTATGGGGGTGTGGAAAGATTTGTTGGCTCTGACGTACAGTCTTCTCGTTCGCGCCGCCTCTAGAGTAGCCTACGGACCCTCTAGCAAGATGTGCTCATTCAAGGAAAAATTTGTCGCCTGCGAGAAGTGTTTGTTGTTGTGTGTTGAGGATGTTTGGCACTGCTTGTTGCGCGGCGCGTACGTGCGTACGTGCGTGTGTGGGTGCGTGCAGGCGTCGAGCGGAAAAGGGTAAGATGAGATGAAAGCGGCCGAGTGTGCGTCGACAGGTAGCGAGCAACTGGCAGTTGATCAAGAGCAAGCCGGGGCTAAGTCAATAGATCCGGCGATGCGTGGTCGGGGAGGGCAGGATGACGCTGCTGGGGTCGGAGATGTTGTGGTGGATGGCTCGGAGGGAAGCAGATATTGAAACCGAGCCGGGCCCAATTACGCAGCGCAAGCCAAAACCAGAGGCGAAGATTGCACACCGGGTGTGTGTGTGTGTGTGAGAGAGAGAGGAAGAGGCAGGCGGCGAGGCGCTTGGTGTCGGAGAGACTGCAGCCGGGATTTGTCTTCTCTAGGCCAGACAGACGAGTCGAGCCAAGAGTGGCAGTACAGTGATGGTTTGCAGTTGGGCTAGGCCTGGAGACAGAGCAAGCGTCGGGTCAAGTTGCTGAGCGGCTTGGGGGTGCCGTGACAGCCGAGATTTGATGCGCACGTCCGCTTGGCTGGGGTCACTGTGTGTTGCAACGAGCAACGCCTGCGACGACGAGACGTGAGGAGATGGGAGGGGGTGGTCGAGGAGGGTGAGGGTGAGGACGAGGACGAGGACGAGGGAGAGAAGGGAGGGAGGGATGGTGGAGGGGAGGGGGAGATGGGGGGTGGGAGGGGAGGGAGATGGAACGGGGCAGGGCAGGGCAGGGCAGAAAGCGGTGATGAGTGGGTGGTGTGTCGTCGAGGCAGTTAGCGAGGCCTAGCAACCGCGAAGGGACCTTGTACGTAGTAGGACGCCCGTCTCCATCCGAAGGGTGCGCCTGCAACAACGGTTCATTACATGTGTGTGTGCCCACTCATGTGCTATGAAAACTCTGCCACTTGGGGTTTGGTGGGTCATCATGTCTCCCCCTCCGCCCACGGGTTGCGGTGACTACCGGTCATGACTCCTGACGCAGGAGTGCTGCAGTGGTTGTGCACGCATTGGAGCGAGCGAATGCACCTCCAAGACGCCCCAAGCCAATGAACGCCGCCAGGGACCGCCGTCTGCGCCTGCGACCACAGCGAGCCACGTATCGCCCGCCTCTGCTCGTGCAATCCGGCCTCCCGCCCTCTTTTCGGCACGCCTGCAGTAGCGGGCTGACTGGGCCGCTGCGCCTGGAGAGGCCTGAGGAGAGGGCCAGCAATCCAAGCAGCGAACAGCCGCCGCCAGACGAGCGCGTGGCATGGTGACTGTGCTCGAGTGCCTTGTTGTTTAATATCTATCCAAAATTACACAGTAAGGGGGGGCCAGATTGGCGGCTGCATCAGCAGGAGTAATAGTAGCAACAGACACGAAGCGAAGGCCGTGGTTGCGGCATGCAGTCAGAAGTCTGTGTGTCCTGGCGCTTCTCTTGTTTGCTTTGGTGGTGGTGGTAGTAGTGGTGGTGGTGGTGGGCATCAAGACGTACAGCCCACGAATCGCAGCCTGATGGCGATATCCACCACCGTCACCTCGGGCCCGTTCGCCATGCGTGAAAAAAAAATTGTGCCGCCGCGGCCGTTGAGTTGCTGCCTCCCACGACAGGTGGCCCACGGAAGCGTCAGACGTTTAGGTGTCGGCGAGCGGGGGCCATGGCCTATGACTGCTGCTCTACTACTGCTATCATCGCTATTACTTACATGGTGCAGGTATGCAGTGCAAAGGCTGCAGTTAGCAGGAGACGAGTAAGTCGGGCGATGCGGAGCCTGTGGTGCGATCAGCGTGACCTTTGCACATCGATCCCCAAGCCCGAACACCACGGTGGCGGTGACAACGTCGGCGGCGAAAGCGGGCTGGGATGCAGATGGCAAGGGCATGGATGCGGGCGGTGGGTAGGCGTCATCAACCCTACCTACCTAGACTAAGTAAGTATACTACCTACACCACCCACAGCGTGTGCAATTGCAGTCGTCACTCGGGGCTCGCAGCCCACCCACCACCCCCAAGCGCTCGGCACGTCGTTCTGGGCTCGGTGGAATTGCATAAGCAAGAGCCCACCCTGTCGTCTTGGGATGCATGTGAGTGTGTTCGAGGCCGGCCACCTGCTCCACCCAGCAGCTCCGACCGCCAGCCCCTGTGCCGCTGGCCCATTGGCTGCTGGCCGCTCCATCGCCTTGGTGACGCTTTGCTGCTCGCCCATGGCACGGCAATGTATGGCTTCAGGCACCACACGATTCGCCTGGGTCGCACAGCGCGGCCACCCGGACCCCGTGGGCCATGATTGCCGCCGCCTGACGTGGCGTCAATTTGCATCTTGTTTGGAGCCATGTCGACGAGATTGCCTTCAATTTGACGCCCGCCTGCCGCCGGGTGCGGTGAGGGTGGGCGGGCAGCTAGAAGGAAAAAATCTCATGGAACATGCGGCAGCCCTTAGTCGATTGGCTAGCCAGCCTGTCACTCTGCTACTGGCCCCTTTGGGACTAGCCCCGCGCCCCGGCACGTGAAAGACGGAAGACGGAAGACTGCCTGCCTGCCTGCCTGCCTGCCTGCCTGCCCTTCCTTGTCTTGCTGCTGCACCCAAACATCACGAGCGACACCTGGCCGCTCCTAGTGGGACCCCCCGCCAACACCACGTCTCCGAGCGCCCGTGTTTCAGCGACGGCTGCCTTGCCCTGCTCGACACGCCTGCATCGCTGCATCGCATTTCAAAGAGAAAAAAAATGCCCACTCAAACCTTCGCGCCCGTCTGCTGCACCTCGTCGGCGTTCGGCCTTCGCGGCACAGACACAGGCACACACGCAGCGCCTCCTAGCTCTGGCCTCCGTGCTGCCATCAACCAGAGGGCGACCAGACAAAAAGCCACCACCAACCACAAGTCCATCTACCACTTCCATAAACTCTATCGTCAAGCCCCATTCACCACATCCATTGTTGCACAAAAAAACACCCCTGAGCCAACACATTGCACAAGATTAACATTGCCTCGTCATATGCATTCAATATGCTGGTGCCTTGCACCCGACTACTAAGTACTCAAGTACGTAGACTCGTCAGAGGGACCGTGCCCTCAACTTCCGTCAAAGTGTCCCCAAACGCCAATGTAAATGCTCCATCCCGTGGTATATCCGACCAGCTTTTTGCGCGCCAACCCTTGAACAAAGACAAAAACACAAATCACTGCACTAGTTCATCTGCCTGATCAGCTCGTTGATCTTCTCTTCGCGGTTGCCCAGGTCACCGCCCTCAATGTAGTGCTTAAACTTCCTCTTGCGGAAGCCGCCCGTTGGGCTGTTGAGCTTGAATGGCCATAGGAAGTTGGACGCCGCCTTGAAGTTGGGGCCAACAGTGCAGATCTCGTGGATCAGATCTTCCATACAGATCATGCCGTACTTGCCCAGGTTCTCCTCGATGATCTCGTTGTCAGTCAAGGGAATCCGTTGCTTGTCAACCTTGCCATAACCACGCTCTGCAAATCACGTCAGTACTGCTGCCAACATCCCTCTAGGCTGCGGTCACTCTTACTGTAGATGAGCTCACGGACCGACTTTTGGTTCGGGTAACCATAGGCAACAAAGGGCTCGACAATCTTCAACATCTCCATGGTAGCCTTGGTAAGCTTGATGAAGACGCCATTGTTGATCTGGAGCAGCCGCAGAAGCTGCAATGTCTTGCGCTTCTTGGGGTCAATCTTGTTGATACCCTTGATGCGCACGACAAAGGCAAGCTTGGGCTCTTCGGGCACATAGAGACTCTCGCTCTTCTTGGCTTCGCGTGACAGCCTTATGCGCTCCCTCTCGGCATCACGGTATTCCTTGACATACTTCTCCGCTCTGGTGAAGATGACCTCACGCTTCTTCTTGTTCTTGTCTGTCTCATGTCAGTATTGCTTCACAACAGGATAGCATGCCATGAGACGCCAAGAGGTCGATTTTCTCATTCCCGAAAGATGGTTAACAATTCGACAACATTGACCGGAGTCTAGCCGATAGTGTGGTTGTTATAATCATCGTAACCGGCCTCTTGGAATCTGCCATGGCATGGGAGATGGCTCGTACCTCGCTTTTCCCGAGTTGCGATTGCGCGCTCCTCGCGAGCCTTCTCTTGAGACTTTCTCTTCTTGAGAAGGTTCTCAGGCACAAGCGTAATATCGCTCTGCGTCGGAACAGTTCTGCAGTCCTCTGATTAGTGTTGACATGACGATTTGGATGGAAACAAACGTACGACTTCGGCGACATGTTGAAGTGGTGTTCGAGAAATTGTTCGCAAGCTCAATTTTTGCCAGACGCTTAGCCTCTACGCTAATCCCCATTTACCCAAGCGCGCGCACTAGCTTGCCCAGGATCCACTTTTGGCGCAAGCGTCCATGGCCGAAGGTCGTGAACACACATACGATACTACTATTCCATGTCGCTTTTGTCGTTGCCGCTCAACGACATTTATGAGCAACTTCACTGCTTCAGAAAATGAAAACTCGCCGAATCCTATGAAATACAATGGCTTGGGTCGAGAAGTTGGGAACTTACTGTGCTGTCCAACTGCCTTCTTCTCTTCCATTCCAGCTCGATTGCTCTCCAAGACTTGGTGATTAAAAAGTAGTACCATCCAGCAAACATTTCGGTCTAATAAGCTTGATTCTTCCAGACAGCGTATTGTTTCAAGTCTGAAAGAAACTATTGAGTCCAGAGTCTCACAGTATCACCGTCACTATCCCACGAACAACAAAGACATTCCTCCTTTGTCCCAATATCATCAAAATGTCCAAAGAAGTAGCGAGCAACGCAATATCTCATATCACACTCGTGCATCAGTAGTATTATCACCACCTATAACATCATGACAGAGCCTCTCCTACTACAAGAAGACCCATATGCTCTAGCTCACCGGTACAGAGAGTACATGATTGAACATCCCCGTCGCTTCCTGGAATACTGCAATCCATACTACGAGAAGCTTCTTGCCAATCAGCCGGATCCCGCCGCAGATGCAACGGACGATGATTCACGTGCTATTCGGTATGCCAAAGAGCACTACGAGTGTTTCTATGAGATTAGAGACATTTGGCGCATCATCACTTGGCTGCCGCCACTTGGAAAAGAGAATGACGGGTAGATTACTTATTTTCGTTGGAGAGGAGGTGGGTTTGGAAAGGAAAAATGATATTCTGGGAATATCGGTTTGGGTTTTTCATGTACATGCTTGTAAAAAAGCTAGAGTACTCAGTCACACGGCGATGTAAGGGGGGGTAGCAGCCATTCAAAAGCAGCGATGATTTCTATATCTACGCTTGATTCACGATGCACTGAATCCAATATCTAAGCATCAAAGATTCCGTCTACGCTCCATTCTTATCACATAGCAACAATAAATCGTCTTTTTTTTTTTTACCACGGCATCTGTGTACCTTCTTTCGACAGAAACTGTCCGCTTGAGCTCTCGGTCGCAGCACCAATCTATTTAGTTTTCCATGTCAGTATGCTTTCAACATCATCATCTCAGCCCATACATACCGATTTTTGCATTGCACGCGCAACTTCGTCGACTGGCGAAAAGGTAAACAAAGACATGTCGAGGCCCATGGCCTTTGCCTGCTCGAGATGTTCGCGGACACCATCGGAGTCGACCAATCTGTTGGTACGAGGGGAATTAGCAAGGGGGGTTTTTTTTCTTCATTTTCTCTTTAGAGGGGCAAAGCGACAATGATGATGTAAAGACAATATATACGTACCCTGGGTCGAGTGAGTATACAATAACATCCTTGTTGTCGAGAGCCAGCCACTTGAACAAGTAATTGGCGAGTGCTTTGCTTGCTCCGTATCCAGCTATGGGCACTTTAATTGTGAAAGACAAAAAGTTAGCATACTAGATCCCTGCAGAAAGCTTCGATACCAACGAAAAGAACCCCCCCCCACCCCCAGTTATCTGGCTGCATAATACAGCTGACACATCAAAGGTTGCGATAATCATTACATCTGAATGTTACTTACGAATGTTAAGCATGCCATTCAGGCTTCCAGCGCCACTCGAGACGTAGATGAATTTGCCCTTGGTCTCAGCAGTTGAAGCGCGGAGAAGAGGTAAAACGGCCCTGAACAGCTCAAAGGGGCCGTATGCGTTGACATCAATGAATGGTTGGAGCTGAGACGACGGAGTATTTGCGAGACCGAGGGTTGGCCCGACAAGACCGGCATTGGCAATCGCAATGTCAATCGAAGTAATGTTGTGTGTTGTCTTTAGTGTTTCGACACCAGCTGCTATCGTGTCAAAGGATCCCATTTCCATGTACACAGTCAGAACCCGCGATCCCGAGGCCTTGGGGAGAGGCGACAGCGCCGCGTCGGCTTTGGCTGTGTCCCGCACTGTGGCTATCACGGTTGTGTCTGGGACTGAAAGATATGCTTCTACCAAAGCCTTACCGAGCCCTAGGTGACTTTATGAGAAGATTAACATGGAAATGTAAGGTCAAAGGTGGCATACCGCGGTTTCCGCCCGTGACGAGAACTGTGTTAGGCATGTTTGGCTCAGTGCTACGTTTATGCTAGGTATTTTAGGTTTGAAAAAAAAAACAGCTGAATGATAGTAGGATATACTGTAGATGATACCACAAAGATCTCAAGAAGCAGGAAAAACGTAACATATAAAATGGCGGTGGTCGACACGTATTCTTATAATTACCAGAAACACGCGGCTCAAACCTTATTTCTTACACATTGCCCATGATCCCCATCCAACAAAGCCGCGCTGGTCCGGCTTATTCGATGGGAATAACCCCAGGCTGCGACAGAGCAGGTGTCCAGAAAGCTGCTGGCGAATTGCTTTCGCTCGATCGAAACGTCAGGTCGGCCCTTTAGGTGTTACGTTGGGTGAGCATCTCCCCGGTCGACAGTGCTGGCAGATCTCGTATCCACACCATTGTCTAGGTACCTGCCATAGTAGTCCCACGACTAGGCTTGCAGAAACAGCGCAACTGCTGTGGGACCTAAAAATCTAGGGTCGCCTTGCCTCCGCCCATTCTTCTCACGTTTGGATTGAACAACGGTAAAGTGAGGCTTTTTGGCGCGATTGAGAGGGGCATTGCAGTACAAGAGCATTGCTCCAGATGCTGACCGCCAATCTGCAAGCAAGACCAATGATAGAGATAAAGGTCATTATCTGGTACCACTGCAGCAGATAACTAGGAGCAGGTTCAGGCGACGGTGCTAACTTTGTGGGGGCTAATAGATATTAATGCAAATCCAACAAGATTCACATAGACACGCCGTATGATTGACTGAACCAAGAAGTAAAGTAAAACGATCGAGTGTCTCATTTCAAATACCAAAAGCATTAGAGACCTCAATCGACAAGTTCCACCATAGGAGAAGAATACGCCATCTACCCGCCATTAATGTTAGACTACAAGAGAACCAAAGCTCAACCAGGACAAAAAAAAGTGAAACAAAAGATTGCAATCACCTAGTAAGCCGCGTTACCCTGATCGTGCTCTTTGATGTACTCCGCTCCCTTCTCCAAAAACTCCTCTCTGGTAATGAAATTGCGTTTCGACTCTTTCTTCGCAGCCCACTGCGCAGCTCCCTTCCAAGCATCCAGCACACAATCACCCGCCTTTCGTACATTGATCGTCTGCTCCGCCGGTAAAACGGCTCTCAGTTCGGCTCTGAGTCGCTCCTCGAAGCCCTGGAACATAGTGTTACCACCCGTAAGGAAAATGTCTTTCAAGACGTCATCACGGTAGGGAGAATCGCCTAAGCGCTCGGTCAGGATGTTGGATGCAATCTCAACGATGCCGGCTTGGTCGAGGCCAGCAATTGTAGGTTGGAAGACCACTTCTGGGACGCGGATGCGTTCAACATTAAGATGAATCTGGTTGATTTCTTTTTGTGACTCTGGATCAAACGGGTAGGGGCCATGCAGGAAAGCATGAAGGATGCTCTTAGTCCAATCAGTCTGCGCTTCACGTGTTGACTCTTCCGTAAAGTCAGGATCATGCTTGAGGAGTTGAGACTCTATCTCTTTGAGGTTCTTGGAGAGATCCTCTTCCTCCTCATCGTCAGAACCTTCGCCTGTTGCGATGGTGCGGTAAACGCCCCAGTCAGCATCATCGGCACCAAATGTGTCGTCGTCGCCGCCACCTCGCCGTCTTTTCTTGGTCGGGGTGTCAGATGCAAGGTTCGCGATGGATTTCATGCGCATCTGGTTGGCGAGGGATTTGCGGTTTCCGAGTTCGGCTTTCAGTCGCTCACGGTCCTTGATCTTCTGGATAATGGCTTGTCGTGCTATCCTGCGCTCCTCAATCCAGCCTTGGGGATCCTCCTCTCGCCGTTGGTCATCAAGGCGCTGCTCCTCTGCCAATCGTGCCTTTTCCTTTTCCTTTTCTATCTTTGCGCGTTGACGGGCGTCGTAGTTGGACTTCATCAACCGTTGCTGCCGCTTTTGCTTGATGCCTTCCTCATCCAGCTGGTCATCTGGAACGTCGAGGAGAGGGAAAGTAGGTGCTTCGGCCTGCTCCTCCTCTACGTCGCCAAGATCCTTGTTCCGGGCCTTCTTGATGGCAAACTCTAGTTCTTTGACTCGCTTGTTGAGCTGGTTCTCGTCGTCAAAGTCATTGGATTCAAGTACACGGGCCTTTTCCTTTTTTGTAGTAATCTCTTCAAGCTGTGCCTGCAACTGTAGGCACCATTCGAGCTCTTCCTCTTTCTTCTTCAGTTTCTCCAGACGCATTTTGGCAGCCTGAGCCTGCAATCTTCGGCCACTTTCCTTGCGCTTCTCGGCAGCGGCAGCTAGTTCTTCTTCTGTCTTCTGCACTACAATCTGCTCTGTGTAAGGGAACTGAATTGTGTGATCTCGGTCCTCAAGGCCTGTCCAGTCAAGATAGTGGCTGAGTTCATTCTCGTAATCTTGCGATACATAGCAGTGCTCGCGGACAAGATCCTCGGCCTGATTGTCACTGATCTTGCCAGGGAATGTGGGATACTTTAGCCTCAGAAGCTTTAGTAGGTATTGTGCGGACTGGAAGCGGCCCCAGTTGAGTCGCGTGGTTTGCGATAGTAGAGGTTTTGAGTTGACGACGGGAATAACGTGCGTGGAAGTGTATGAAGAATCCATGACCAAGCCGCTGCGACCACCGTTGTAAGCGTAGGAGAAGAGCGAGTCGATTCCATATGCGACCGAGGGTGCACCGTAGCACTCGAACAGGATCTCAGACATGGCTGTAGGATACATAATTAGCGGGCTGTAACACAAAAGCATAAGTGTCCTTCCTGTGCAGGCTCACATACTCTTTCTTGAATAGCCTAGGTTGGCAATAGGCTCGGTCATGACAACGGGCCGTTCTATGCGCCCTGACTGACCGTCGACACCCATCTTGACAAAGCAGTAGTCTAGCACGCCCTCCATGACGTCCCAGTTGTTGATGATGTTGCTGCCGGGTTCGTAGACGGGCTTGGATTGTCCTCGCGCCGTGCCATCCGCGTAGACGTCTGCTCCGATGAAGGTAAAGGTCCGGTTCAGCTTGCGATCGCGATACCTGGCCATATTGGGGAGCACTGAGAGTCGCGGTTTCGAGTCGAAAGACCATCCGGCGCGAACTGCTGAGGAGCCTGCAATGCGTCAGCCTGTACAGCGACAAGAAGGCAATGGGGGATGCGTGAATGGTACCATTGTCGATGACTATAGCCGTCTCGCTGTTGCTACGCGACCAGCCTTCGTGGTCGACAGGCCGAAAGCCCTCGAAAGGTGGCTCTGACACGCTCCATAGCTTTGGCGGAGGCTTGGGTGGATTGCGCCCGGCGGGTTGAGGCGCCTCGTCAATGGCCGAGGGAGCCATGTCTGCGTCGAGTAGGAGATGGACTGAAGCTGTGTGGGTGGTGTCTAGATCATGTCGCAGCTGGAGGAGCGTGGGGCGTGTGTGTATTGCGTGAGTGGTTAGCGCGATTGTTTGCGCGACATGGTGGTTGTCCTGTCGTGAGGCTCTCTGGGTACTGGTGCTCGGTGGTCCGGGCCCGTCTCCGCATGTTGCTTGGATATATGCATTGTCTGGGCCCACTATATGTACGATGCTTTTGCGCCACAAGTTGTAGTACTATCATATCTCATTATTTGGCTATCCAATC